ACAGAGCCTGTGCTGTAGCTTCCCTGTATCCTGCTCCCCAAGGACAGCTCCATCTGTGACTCCAGGCCTTGCTATTCATCACTGGAGATTTTCTCCACTTCTTCATGGTTTTGTCCCTTGTGAAAATGCAGACACTCCTAAGAGCAGACCCCATTTTATACAGCTACTTGGGGCTGCTTCCTGAGACAGGATTTGGCTGCATAGGATCAGGATACAGAAAACTCCCGAGGTGGTGAGTGTGAACGCTGAAGACAAATGTCAACTGAACCAGGGCTGTCCTGCCTCTTATTTCTGAGGGCCCAGAATGGCTCGCATAAAAATTGGTTTCTGTTTTTTTTCTCAGCACAGTGTGCTAGTATCTGATTTAGCCTTTCGTTTACATTGTCTCTCATTTCTTTTTTTTCTCATCTTCCTTTCCCTGTCTCGATTTCTATTTTAATTTCCTTTAAGTTTTTCTTTTCTGTGAAATTGGTATTCCTGACACTTTTCTTTTTCTTTTTCCATTTCTTATGAATTTTCTTCCTTTCCTTTTTTCCCTTCCCTTTTCCTGTGTTAATTTATTACAAGAGATGAAATGTTTACTGTGTGCTTGTTATGTGGGTAAAGTTAATTTGGTTAATAGTTGTATGGGTGTAGACTGAAAAACCGGAGTGCTGCGGTTTTCTCTTTACAACAGCATTTTGACACATGGAACCACTTGCTGAAGATAAGAAGCTAGTTTCAGTGGGGATAAACTATTACAGACTATTATTATAGTGTTCTATTTTAATATAGATAGCAAATCTTACTATGCTTTAGACTTAGTTTCACTCTCTTTTTCAAATGTGACATCTTTTTTTTTCTTTTGGAGCTTTTGGATTTTATTTTATTTTAAAATTTTATTTAAAAATTTTTTCTTCCTTTTTTAAAAATTGGTACATAAAATTGTATGTATTTATAGTGTAAAACATGATGTTTTAAATATATATATACATTGTGGAATGTATAGCTAATTCACATATGCATTACCTCACATAGTGGTCAGTATTGTGGTGAGGACACTTACCCACTCTTAGCATTTTCCAAGAATGCAATCAATCCCCATTAACTGTAGTCACCATGCTGTACTATGGATTTCTTGAACTTATTCCTGCTATCTGACTTCTCCCCAACTTCCCCAGCCTCTGGTACCACCATTCTACTCTCTACTTCTGTGAGTTCACCTTTTTCAGATTCCACGTATGAATGGGATCATGCAGTATTTGACACTCTGTGCCTGCCTTATTTCACTTAACATAATGTCTTCCAGGTTCATCTGTGTTGTAACAAATGACAAAATTTCCTTCTTTTTATGGCTTAATAGCATTCCATTGTGTATATAAATATACTTTTTAAAAAATATACATTCATCCACTGATGGACACTTAGGTTGATTCCATATCTGGGCTATTGTGAATGGTGCTGCTCTAAACATGAGGGCGCAGATATCTCTTCAACATACTGATGTAATTTCCTTTGATTTTATACTCAGTAGTGATATTGCTGGATCATATGGTAGTTCTATTTTTAATTTCTTGAGAAACCCCTGTACTGTTTTCCATAGTAGCTGTACTAATTTACATTCGCACCAACAGTGTACAAGTGTTCCCTTTTCTCCACATGCTTGCCAACATTTGTCTTTCACCTTAGTGACAATAGCCATTCTAACAAGAGTGAGGTGATGTGTCATTTTAGTTTTAATTTGGATTTTCCTGATGCTTAGGGATGTTGAGCATATGTTTGTAAAACTGTTAGCCATTTGCATATATTCCTTTAAGAAATATTGCCCATTTTATTTATTTATTTATTTATTTATTTTATTTTATGGCAAAAAAATGTTCATATTGAGCATACAATAGGCTTTTGTTGATCACTAGTTTCCTTTTTTGCTTTCTGATATACTTTTTTATAATCCTTTTTTTATTTCATTTTTTTTTTCCTTTAAATTTTTAGTTTGTCAATATACAATGTGGTTGATTATTATGGCCCATCACCGAAACCTCCCTCCCTCCTCCCTCTCCCCCCTCCCACCCAAGAGTATCCTTTCTGTTTGCTTGTTGTAACAACTTCAAAAAATTGTAGTTGTTATATCTTCTCCCCACCCCCATTTTTTTTTGTGTGGCTACTGATTTTTGTGTGTTGATTTTGTATCCTGCTACTGTGCTGAACTCATTAATCACCTCGAAGAGTTTTTTTGTAGATGCTTTCGGCTGTTCGATATATAGGATCATGTCATCTGCAAACAGGGACAGTTTGACTTCATCTTTTCCAATCTGGATGCCCTTTATTTCCTTCTCTTCTCTGATTGCTCTGGCTAGTACTTCCAACTCTATGTTGAATAGGAGTAGTGAGAGTGGACATCCTTGTCTGGTTCCTGTTCTTAAAGGAAAAGCTTTCAGCGTTTCCCCATTCAGGATGATATTGGCAGTGGGTTTATCATATACGGCTTTAATTATGTTGAGATACTTTCCAGCTATACCTAACTTATAGAGGATCTTCGTCATGAATGATTGTTGAATTTTATCAAATGCTTTTTCAGCATCAATAGAGATGATCATATGGTCCTTGTGTTTGATTTTATTAATATGATATGTCACATTTATTGATTTGTGTATTTTGAACCAACCTTGCATCCCTGGAATGAATCCCACTTGATCGTGGTGAATAATTTTACATATGTGTTGCTGTATT